GGGCCCCAAAAACCTTATTCTAATGATTAAGGTCCGTATATGAGGGTTTGGGGTTTAGGGTTTAGTCTTGAGCGTGCTGCGAGGGAATTGGCCGGGCGAGCTCCAATTAAGCCTGTGTAAAAAAGGGTTTAGTGGATGCACGAGTCATCGATGAGGCGGACAACCTGGAGGCACTTCAGAGAGACCTCGGTTCAAAAGGGTTGAGGGTGTACGAGCCGAAAGACCGAGTTGCGAGAGCGTATATATATATATATATATGATCTAAAGCCCTAGGGTGATCTCACCAGCACACCCTAGTAGCCTTGGAAACGGAGGCTCCCTCACCCTCCTAGAGTTCGAGCTCATGTTCCAGCGTGATGACATCAAAGCATCGCTGCAAGTCCTGGACATCGCCTGGCTCTCAGCTTTCTAAACTCCAAACCCTAAACCTTGTGCCCGAGTTGCGAGAGCGTAAACCCGAAACTCTAAACCCCAAAAACCTAAACTCTGAACCTTAAGCCCGAAACCCTACACCCCAAAACCCTAAACCCTGAACCTTAAACCCGAAACCCTAAACCCCAAAACCCTAAACCCTTAACCTTAAACCCGAAACCCTAAACCCCAAAACCCTAAACCCTGAACCTTAAACCCGAAACCCTAAACCCCAAAACCCTAAACCCTTAACCTTAAGCCCGAAACCCCAAAGAAAGACCCAAAAGCCTGGCTTTGGCTCAGGCCATAAGGCTTGGGAGCATCGGCCGGCTTTGTCTTTTTCGGTCCTCTTCTTTGGCGGTTTAGGGTTTAAGGTTTAGGGGTGCTTTTTCCAGAGTCTGGGTTCAAAAAAAGGGGTGCTTTTTCCAGGGGTATTCCCTAAACCCTATAAACCACCCAATGTATGGAGCATTTCCGACTGGAAGTCCTCATGCCTTGAGTGGGTCGACTGGCCACACCTATGCCACCCCCTTTAGAGGTCATGAACTTTGCTTTGAGTGAGAAGTGCGACTCCAGATGCTGCACATGGTGATGACAACAATATCGATGCCGAGTTTCGACTTGTGTTCAGGACGTGCGCGTGTATAGTCTGAACTTCTAGCGATGTGCCACATGGCGCAAATTCGCAAACCTGCCTTTGTTCTCTGAACCCAACAACCCCGCAATGCGAGCTCGTCCTAGCTTAGCTAGATGGGAGGCAAAACGACCCGACCCACCCGTATGAACCCTAACCCTCCCGGCACTATTCCTTGAGACATGCCTCAGCATGAAAGGAAGTTTCTGAAGCTGACGCCTGGCGCTGCTTGGCAGTTTGTTTGGGAAAAATACTCGCGAAGACTACGAAGCATTTTCTTTCAGCCCTCTATAAACCCTCAACATCCCTGAACCCTCAGCCTTGTCCCTACAATATTCTCGAGTCGATTGGCATGTACAGCGACAAGAGGATTGTTGGCGAGTCATATTTGGAGAGAGAGGGAAGTTTGCTGCTTGTTCGGCTTTCCTTGTTGTCCGTTGTTTTTCGCATCAGATGCTCAATCGATTTCCGGGCCGCTGCTCATAAGCTAACCCGCACACGGCGTGGACGGAGCGCGTCTACTTGTCTTTGGATTGCAAAGGATTGATGTGAATGGCTGCTGTCACGCAGAAGCTTCTACTTTAGCTGCAGTCGGTATGAGGGCCCTGGCAGGGAGGGACAGAGGCTTCTATGAAGGCCCCTACGAGGATTGGTAATGGCGGTTAGTAGTGGCAGTGGTCGTCGCGGGTGTGGTTGTTGTTGGTGGGTTTCGGTGCCTTCTTGCTGTCAAGGCAGGCAGGCTAGACAGGCAAATGGCTATGTGGGCAGGCAGGTGGGTGGGTTGCGGGGTGTGCAGGTAGGTGGACTAGGCAGAGTGGAGTCCCAGTACACAGCTTGAATCCCGATAGCTCCATGGTGTCTGCTCGATCTAGATATCCCTCATCATGCCGTGGTTTGGATCGAAAGCTCAAGAGTTGCGACAGCGGCACATGAACCAGATTGCTTCCTGCATTCAAGTTTGCCATGCCAGCAACTTGTTCTCCCTGCGGAAGTTCGGATGAGGGTTGGGGCGCCCTCCACAAGGTGGGTGGTTGTCAAAATTATGATCCCTTTTTGGGTCCTTATTATAATACGGCACCTATTATTTAGGGTACCCCAAAAGGGACCATAATTTTGACAACTACCCAGGTGGATGAGGTGGAGGTGCGTCATGCCCAGCAGGTTCCGCAGGCGACCGTTTTGCAGCTGCAGGAAGATCTTCTCGCTGAGGTGTCGCGCATCCATGCGCGGCTGCGGCAAGAAATCCAGTCCGATCTGGGACGTTTCCATGCAAGGCTTGAGAAGGTGGAGGTACAGATGGGACTCGAGAAGCCATGGCATAGCGCAGACTCTGAGTATCAGGACACCGGAAAGCGGCAAGACAAGACCAGTGAGCCCGACTTCGGCGAGGTCAATCTCCAGGTTGTTCCGGACGGCGGCGCCGCCGATCCACAGCCCGCCGCAACTGATGAGTTTCTGGGTGAGGTTTCCGAGATCCACTTCGAAGAAAGCGTATGGAGCATTGTTATGGTCCTTGGTCTTGTTGATGTCGGCTGCTTTGATCGGCTCTTTGCTGGTATCCTGGTGCTCTTGAACTTGGTCATGCAGGCGGCGTTTTCATGGGTTCTCTTGACGGCTACTTGACGAACACAGCAGCCTGTTTTGGAGTAGTGGTTTGCCCATTGAATGTAGGCACTGCTGTCCTGTCTAAACCTGGTGGACTCTTTGAACGACGTCTGAGTCGAGTCAACCCTTCCGTTGACAAAGGCGGCTTTATCGCAAGTCCTTTGTCCAATTCGCATGGAACCCATTTTGTGGATTTTTCGCCATGCCACACAAATGCCGTCCATACCGCAGACTTTCCATCGGTTTGCGGCAGGCACTCAGCTATTTCCCCTACACGGCTGATCGATGAAATTCAGCCTCGAACCAAGGCCAGTACTCGCACGTCAGAGTGTTGGATGTGCTTCTTGCTCCAAGCTAATCTCACTCAGTGTTTCGAAGTATGGCCTGTCATGTGTTCGTCTGCACGCGTGGGAGTGTGTGTGTGTGTGTGCGTTTGTGTTGACATTCCTCTATTCAGAAGAACCCTGAGCCCCAAAGCCTTAAACCCTTGTTTCACTCAGCCGACCTAAGACCACATGCCTCGCCTGTCGTGTCCGAGCGTGCGCGCCGAGACCCTAAACCCAGGTGTTGTAGAATGCTTGGCCGTTTTGGACGGTGCTCTGAATGCGCAGGGGTTCGGTGGCAGTTGCAGCCCATCCACTGAAATTAAGACATAACACAGAAAAGGGAGACGGCCTTAAAGGAAGAGACGGGCCACCGACAACTTAGGATGCCTTCGTTGGCGAACACTTCGATGGCAATGTGGAAACTGCCAAAGCTTGGCGGACCAGTGTGGCGCATGACTACAGGTACATGGACCTCTCGCAAACAAGCTTGGTGTCCAGAGTTTGTGCTGGAGATGGTTCATTGATTCTATCCACAAGCCAGGCCACGTTGGTGGATCACATCAATAGCTTCCTCGGATTGAATGAGATGGAGTTCGATCACCCAGCCTTTCAGCCGGGTGTTCTGTTGTGTATGCTGTGCATCATTCTGTGGAGCTTGTGCGTCTACAAGGATTGCACACTTCCTGTCCAAACGCCCGCTCTTTTCGCTAACAGTGGTACTGGAAATGGCAAGCCTAGATCCCAAGACATGACAGAGCGTTGTTCTGGACCTGGCTGTAGCCCACGCCCAAACTCCAAGCAGCAAGCCTGAGCAGACATACATATACACATACACTTACATACATATAAATGCGTTTATACATGCGCAGACGCGCGCGCGCACACACACACACACACAGACATGTGCGTATGCATACTCGTACATACCTACATGCAGAATGCAAATATCCATACATGCATTTGTACATACCCACATACCTACATATACATGCGCATACACATGCATACATACACATGCATACATACATATATTCATACATAAATACATACATACACGCATAGACACGAACATGACACAGTCATTTTCAGCACAAACATAGGCATACTTACATGCACCCGTCCATATGCAGAAAAATGTATAGTATATGCATATTATACATCTACATTATACATGCATCGGTCCAACCAACAGTTAGGTCATGGCAGAATTTGTTTTCGGTACTATACTGGCTCACGTGCGGGCGCCCGTTGTTTTGCCAGTCCTGGTTCAACATATGCATATTTCGTTGCCATCTGGCGGCCTGGCATGTAAACATCAGGACGGTGTACCTACTTAGTATGCATTTTTGCTTTCATGTATGTCGTTGGTGTCTTTGCTGTTTGCTTTTTTACTACATTTATGTTGGCATGTATACGTATGTGCACATGCATGCATCTATGGACATATATAGACATATATATATATATAACAGAGAGAGAGAGAGAGAGAGAGAGAAAGAGAGAGAGAGAGCGAGACTCCGGAATTATGCTAGTTCACATTCTGTACTGTAACTGCACAAATGTTCGGTTTCAGTCTTCATTCGTGAGTCGCGCCTGCATGTGGGCCCTGTAGGAGTTCCGCGCCATCTGGCTCCAGCTGGAGGCGGTTCTTGGAGTCCCCAAATCTCGCTCAACCGTTTTTCGTGCCAATTCTTTCGAAAGCATTTCTTGGGGGCGATTTATCATGCTTCTGATCACCTACGTCGTTCGGGTCGCGATTGCTTCTGTCTTGCTCTTCGGCGGGATCCTCTGGCTGGCCCGAACGACGTCAATTGAAGAATTGATGTTGAATGCTGTTGCCCTGAATTCTATTTTGGATGTTGACGAGTTTCTCTTTGCTGGTATGGCACCGATCAAGATTCAGCATGCCATACAGCACTTAACACCGATCCGTATTGGGTACGGTCGTTGTCGCAGCCAGCTGGAGTCCTTCGTGCATTTCAGTGCGCTGCTAACCCTCATCCTGTCCTCCTACTTTGTGCTGCTGGTGCCCTTGAGTGATGCGATGCTGGCCGTCAAGACTGAGCTTTGTGGAGGCATCCAGCGGTTTGTGGTTTCCTACAATGCAGATACACAGATGACAATTGGCCTGGTGACAACGGATTTCGGCGACGTAGGCAACTTGTCCTACAGTCAGACTGTGATCCACGCACACAAAGATTCATTGCCAGGGGTCGCCTCCGAATTAATCGGCTTTGCTGCCAACCATGACAGTTTTCAGCAAGAAATTTCACGCACCATGCAAGAAGAGGCCATGCGGTATCCGAGCTGTATTGAAATCGAAGTGCTGAAAGAGGGTGCACCATACTATACAGATCCAGCACTGCGATCTTTGTCTGCCTTGCTCATCAACTCTGCTGCTGGTGCTGTTGGACGTGCCGGTGCACGAAGTTGTCAAGAACTACGAGACAAGTGCGACCATCCAGACGCGCGTTTATTGCGGTTGGTGTGTGGTGAGACATGTGGTTGCATAGATCCATTCAGTTCTCCATGGTACAAAGTTCCAGCACAAGGTTGTGCTACAGCTTGCCTAGATATCGGGCAGGCAAATTTGCAGAACCTGTCTTGCCAGGATTCCCCTGTGGATGACACGTGGCGTACATTCTGGGCTCGCTATCCGGATGTCTTGTCCCACTACTTCGGACAGCCGGTGGAGACCACTCAGGCTTTTGCTCTGGTGAACCAAACCCTCCCAGCCTTGGCGACAGATGGATGCCCAGTTCTGGCGCAGTTTCCGGTGGATTTCATCTCAAACACTGTTTGGTGCGAGGGCGCACCGGAACTTGTCCGTCCATTGGCTTCTTTATGCCCGCAGACATGCGGCTGCGACCAACCATCGCCGAAGATTTCCCAGCATTGCCCTCTAAGCTGCAGCATTGCTCGAAGCAACGCGTCTGCGTGAGTCGGCAAGTCTCACCTCCACAATCTGTCCCTGAGTGCCCAGTTGCCTTTGCATGGCTGCGGATACTATATTAAGGTTTGTAGTTTAAGATGAGCCTGATGAGCAATTCCAACAACTACGCATTCTGCGCCATCCCATGTAGTTCTTGTAGTTCTGTAATTTCTATTTCTAGCTCGGAAGATTGTCGCTACTTGCTTCATGCTTATGTTTCTGT